ATTATTAGTAAAAATAAATAGAATAAGAGAATATACTTTCTATTTCACTCGCATCAAATATTATATTAATGCTCGATTATAATGTTGTACTGATCAGTAAATAGTTTTACAATAAAAGAATAAGAAAAGACATAGAAATAAAAATATACTGGCTATGATTAGCAGAAGAAATATAACAAACAATGATGGAATTCTTGAATAGTTATTATTATTTGGTATTTCAAAGAATAAGTCTGTCATTTGAGCTGTCATCGAGTTTTTGCTTGTACTAGCCGTAGTTGTCACAGTTGTCATTGACTCTTCGCTTGTGGAATCTGTTATTGGCTGTTCACTTGTGGAATCTGTTATTCGTTCTTCACTTGTGGAATCTATTATTGGTTGTTCGCTTGTGGAATCTGTTATTGGTTCTTCGCTTGTAGAATCTGTTATTGGTTCTTCACTTGAGGAATCCGTTATTGGTTCTTCACTTGAGGAATCTGTTACTGGCTGTTCACTTGTGGAATCTGTTATTGGTTCTTCGCTTGTGGAATCTGTTACTGGTTGTTCACTTGTGGAATCTGTTACTGGCTGTTCACTTGTGGAATCTGTTATTGGTTCTTCACTTGAGGAATCTGTTATTGGTTCTTCGCTTGTAGAATCTGTTATTGATTCTTCACTTGTGGAATCTGTTATTGGTTCTTCGCTTGTAGAATCTGTTATTGATTCTTCACTTGTGGGATCTGTTATTGGTTCCTCACTTGTACTAATTGTAGTTGCCGTAACCTCTTCGGATGACATGATAGATTTGATCCATTCTATATAAAAACTAACTCGAGTGTAGACTCCTGGAGAACCAGGTAATGCACATCCATATCCATAGGATGTGATACCATAAATTTGCCAAACATTATCAACAAATGCCATTAATGGTCCACCACCATCACCTTGACAAGTATCTGTAAACAGAAAAAATTATTGACTTAAGTAGATTAGTTTAATATTGATGCTTTACCTTTGCCACCAGTTATTATTCCAGCACAAAATTGTAGTTTACTATCAGAAATAAGATCTTTACATCCACTGTATGTACTTGCTATGGATTGTACTGTGACTTGACGAAGAGTTGAAGAAAATTCATGTGTCCACATAGATGTTTTACCCCAGCCAAGAGCGATCATACTAATATTGTCTGGTGGTTGAGGAACAGTATCAGGTGGTAAACAGATTGGTTTGATATTTCCATATTTCATATTTAATGGACTACACAAGCGAATAAGAGCCAAATCATTTGTCAACAAATCAGAGTTATAATCAGGATGTTGGTAGATTCTATCAATTGAACGAACTTGGGATAAATCATTTGACGAAGGTTTTAAAGTTAGAGAGCCAGCAAGAATAGTAATGCTTTTTAAATCATATATATCTTTAATGCAAAGAGCAGTAGTAACAATGAATGATGGTGAAAGAATTGTTCCTCCACAAAAGTGTTTTCCATGAGAACGAAGAGAAACAGTCCATGACCAAGATTGTCGGCCTGCAGTTTCACCACCAGCAATACGTGATACGAGAGTAAATGAAGTTGAACATCCACATAAAGCATTTGTATCACATTGATATAGCGTTCCACCTCCGTTCTCGCAAATAATAACGACGAAAAACAATATAAGAAGACGCATTGTTACGATGTTACAGTTACGAGTGATGGGTAATTGATCGGTGTTTTTTTTCTATACCTTACTTTAATATGTATGCGTATATATATATCATACGATGCAGATGAATCATTGTGCAGCTTTTTTCAACTATTTGTCACTCAGAAAGGGATAGAAGTGCACTATTTTGTCTTCGGTAGTCATGATTGGATTATTTGTGATGAGAAAAAAATTGCACCTTTTATTATTGTGAACTTGATTTATTTATATACCAATTAAAACTAAGAATTGAGATAATAACATCGGCTCAAATAATTCTATTCAATGATTTCTTTCGTAGAAATGTCACATTCTACGGAACGAATAGTACTAAATCCATTTTAGCGACAGGTCAAATGTTTACTAAAAAATATTACATAATAATAAAGCAATATTGAATGTACAATGTTAAGGACAAACGACTTTTGTCTGAATCTATTTCTTCTGTTTTAGGAGAAAACAAGAATTAAGCTTTAGAATATTTTTCCTTCAAGTTTACTTTGATATTATAAGAAATAGACTGTATTACTATAATCAGTTGAAGGAATTTTCCAATTCATGTTGTTTATATACATGAATCATGTTTCTCTTGAATAGTTTCATCGTTGAGGAAAATAACCTTTTAATAAAGACCATAGAAAAGAAAACAACTATTGGTGAGTCACTTCGCATATGTCTAATGATGAAGACACGACTCTAGTGAAAACGATGTTTCTCTTCACGACTTGTCATTGGAGAAAAATATCGAAGTTAAACAAATATGACGTATGATAAAAAAAAAAGACCCAATCGATGTTATAAAACAAAAAACAAACAAACATGTGATCAAACGACTTTTTATATCGTTGTGAAATAAAACGAATAAAACTTTCGATAAATACGCTACTGCTTTCATAATAGGTTTGCACGTTTATTTTTATTCTTGCGTATTAGTATTACTAATTTGTTATCGTTCGCTGAAGCAAAGCTAAATCAACATTGATAAACAACGAAAAAAAATTATTGATCAGAATACAAACGAGTTTTTCTCGTATAAACGGATAATGCAATTTGAAAAAATTCTTTTTCTACAATGCTTGTGTATCATTTGAAACATAATTGAGAAAAATGGACTATGTAACGTTTGTTGTAATAATTAGCAGAAATTGAATAAAAACGAATTTTACTAATTGAAGTTCGCTTCAGTTCGTTTTCGATCTTTGATAATTAAATACTTTGTGAAATATGAACTGTCAAGAGTGTTGAAATATACAAGGTAGTAATTTGCACTACTCTCCACACAGACCTTGGCAGATGTTGTTAATATACAATCGCAGACCATGTATCAATAGCGGCTCGTTACAATATATTACAGTAATTATTCCTTTAGTGCATTTGTGAAAGACCAAGGAAAACAAGGATGAAGATATATATCCCAAAATACATAAAACAAATCTATACTCCAGTGATTAGCCGTAGCAACTACATCGTATTTCATATTTTAATCCCAGAGAAAGTGCACTATTTTAAGAAAAAATAATACAAATCTGTTGAAATTTTTATCTAAACAAATACGATACATTTGAATAATTCGAAAGATTATTTAGTGACACAGCCACTTATTAACGTTAGCTTATAATCGTAAACTATTGAATTATTTTTATTAAAATTTATAGATGCAAAAGCCTATTTGATTGTATCTTTTGCTACAGAGATTCTTCATAAATTAATAACGACTAGATTTTCTACTTTGTTTCTTTCGGGTTTCAAGCAAGAGAGAAAGTGTAGATTAGAAACTTTCAGCACATTTTGGTACTGAAGATGCTGTAGTGCTGATACATATTTGAAATAAGACTAGAAATTAAGGTAATAGCTATGAGTAAGAGTCATACTATTTCAAATCAATTGTTTCAATGAAGAAAAGCCTATTCTTCGATAATAGTGATTTTGTTTTATAAAACATGAGTAAACGTTTCTAGAAGTCAACGAATACGAATCTCTAATCAATTTTTCCGAATTCTTGAGTTCAATTTTTTTCAGTCAGTGGAAGTTTATTTCAAAAAAATATTTGAATGTTATGAAACGTGATTAAACTGGTGAAAATAGGCTTCCACTGATCGTAAAAATCGAACTCAAGAATTTCAAAAACTAATTAGAGATTCAGATTTGTCGACATCCGAAAAACTTTACTCAAGATTCAAAAAAGAATTATTATTTTTGAAAAATAGGCTTATCTTTACTGAAAAAAATTGAATTAAAAATATATGACTCTCGCTCATGGCTATCACCTTAATTTCCAGTCTAATTTCAAATATGTGTCAACATATTGTAGCAAAAATTGGTGCTTTGATTCTGCACCTACCCCATTTGATTCCAACAGAAAAAAAAAATTTTTTTATTGATGGTGAATGATAATTCTCTTGATTCAATTGATATCGATACTATCGATTATAGTTTAAGGAAAATTCAATAAAACAATTTTTGCAATAAGAACTTTTTTAACTAAGTTTTCGTTTTGCCTCTTCGAATAGTTTTATCTGCTAAAAACCTTTCCTATGTTTACAATTAATCTGAAATTAGTTTTTCTTTCCTTATATTTTAAAGCAATCCATTTATCTTTTGTAGAGAATGTCAAACTATCGTGATAACAACTTGTGCATATAAAAAAGACGTGCACTCTTATCTGACTGTTTATTGTAATAAAATATATATTTTTTTCTTATTCTTCCTATGATAAACCCAATTGAACTTGATGTCTTTATATTCTTAATTTTTCTATGTATCCCAATCTTATCAATATGTATTTGTTTTCTGATCTTAGTTGATTGTACTGTTTGAGTTTGAAACACATTAAATTAAAAGACAAATTTATGCTATAAGTTCAATCTTCTGGCTACATAATAGTAATATCAATATACAATAGGAATGAGGTTTTACGAATTTATATCAATAATTATGAATCAATGTTTGTTTGTAGGAGTCTATCTCGCTTACTCTCTGGTTCAAATTGACAGGATGAAATCGATATCTTTAGAATTGATTGTTGTTTTAATTAATTTTTATCACAAAAAGAACATGGTTAGCCATTATCATTGTTTGTTTTAGATAAATCATCTAATACTTTTGAAGTCATTCAAATGCTGTTATTTCGTTGCTATTTTCAGTTGATTCGGATGTGGAATAAATCTTTGAATTTTTCTGACTATCACAAAGTAAAAATCTTATTTTAGTATTATCTAAAAACATTCATTAACTGATATTTCACTTTGAATACACAGATATATTTATGAATCGTATGTTAGATTATTTGATCTATATGTATAACATCATCCTCAATTTAGTTATATTTTATGAAAGAAAGAATAAGAATACTCAATTCAGCAAACGTCAAACGGAAAAATGATAAAATTGCAAATAAATAGAATATGCTTCGAAACATTCTTTCTGGTTATATGGTTACCTACAGGAAAAAAACATCGGTATTCAATGTTGTACTCGTCTTCGTCTTATTGTACACAATATTTAGCAATAAACTTATGAATTACTATGTACAAAAATAGATTGAAGAAATAAAACAAAGAAAAAGGATGTAATTGAATAAAAAATAGAGACGAGATGTTTTAATGGATTAACTATTATTTTCTTCTATTCTCTTTTGATAACTCATTTATACTATTTTTCATGAATAGCGATTATAAGGAAAGAAAAATGACTTTTCATTTTCAACGGTAAATTTAATTGATAAGATCAAACATTTGTTGAAATATATGAATGACAAGCCGTTTAATTTCACTTTTTTTGTCAATAATCTAGACTATGCATTTATTATTTGTTATTTCTAGCTAAATTTCATGAAATCATTTATTTTTTATTTCTCGTTACTGATTTTGTACTGTTCTCAATATATGTCTTGTGTACTCTTATTTTAATTGCTACAGGTGAAAAGTTTATCGCTATCCTGTATCTGCAAAATATTAAGATACAGTAGCATTGCTAGTTCTCAAATTTTCAGTACATAAGCCTATGTTTTTGTTATTAGTTTTATATTTCAATCAAACAGATATACGCAAGTGAATGAAGTACAGTCGGTTCCCATCAAAACTAGAAAAATACAGCTACGGAATTCGATTATCGAAGCTTTTCAGTGAGTTTCCGCCAGAAGTCCACGGATCCAAACGCGTGAATCATCAAATCGATGATTCCAGACTTTGAAAACAATACGATTTAACTGGAATCTGCTCAATAGATGTGCAAAAAACATTGTATCCGGCACAAAAACAAAAAGAAATCGGTGGAACTTGACAGTAGTAATCTGGACCGAAGATTCTCCGGTTTTTTCTGATGATTTGTGACTCTTTTCCGATGGAAATAACAAGAAGTTGGCCTGAAGTCACCGGAAAAACTCGAAAACTTTTCTATTAGGACTATTGGTTCCAAGTTTCATCGATTTTCAGTGTTTTCCTGTCGAAACTTGCCAATACTTCTTGACCTGACAGATTTCAAAGCAAAAATAATAGTTCATCAAAGGTCACTTTTAACAATTATCAGTTGAGCTTGGATTTACAGGGTGGTCCATAAATAACTGTGCGATAAGAAATTCGAATATCTCCATTACGGCTCGAGCAAACGTGCTGATTTTTTTACCAGTGATAGAGGCATGTATAAGCTTTATATCCATAAAGACATGTCTAGGAAGACGCTTTGTTAAGTATCACTACTGACCTCAACAAGAAAAATTTCACTTNTGTGTTCTCTAGTATGCATAATTCGCGGAGCTATCATGAAGCTTTCGAAATGCATCTAATTCAGCAGTGGACTTCTTCACCAATTAATATCGCACAGAAGTTTCAAAGGACCTCTATCGATTGCAAGTAGAGAACATTTTGTTTATAAAATTTCAAATTTTTCCATTTTTTTCAAATTTATCGATTTTGTAAGTCATATATCTCGAAGGCAGAGCAATGAATCAAAATATTTTTTTTACCAATCGGTAGCTTGTGAAGTTC